CTACTTCATCGCAATATCAAGACTACTCGACCTTGTGACAAGTTGGACTATCGTAGGCTTGGCCCCTTTTCTGTTTCTGAACAGATCAACCCAGTTGCATATCGGTTACATCTACCGGAGTCGATGAAGATCCATCCTGTATTCCACGTGTCTCTTCTTGAACCATATAAGACAGTGGATATACAAGGAAGAAGACAAATGCCACCGCCTCCTATAGAAGTAGATAATAATGAAGAATTTGAGGTGGAAGAGATATTAGACTCAAGGCGGCGCCGAAATAAGCTGGAATATCTTGTTCATTGGCGTGGATATGATATTAGTGAACGCACATGGGAGCCATCCAGGAATTTAGGAAATGCATCAGCTAAAGTCAAAGTTTTTCATCAACGACATCTATCAAAACCAAGATGAAAATCTCTCTTATAAAAGAGACAAGATTGAGGCAAGATAACATTCAATTTCCTATCCTTGTTTGTAACTTCTTTGCATTTGTGACGCTAATTAGATGGAGAGCCAACAACCAGCGGATTCAACTCAAGAACCTTCGTTTGCTGACCTGCCGGACGAGACATTACGATTGTCACAACCTTCAAGACGACGCAATCGAGATGAAGATCTTCAAGAACGACATGTTCTTCTTTGAACAGATGGTGAGATACAACGCGTTTGGTATCAGGATTTGGGAAGGGACTCTCGATGTTTGGTGATTTTGCTAGAGGTAGGAACAACTCCTGATGGTGTTCCGAATATTCTATTCGAAGGAAGTTACGAAGGCCTCAACAATGATCAAATAACTGGGTGGTCTTCCCGCCCTGGTATGGGACACTACCGATGGTTGAGAGGCCCTATCAATCATCTTCGAAGAGAACAAAGATCAGAGTATGTGGCGAATACAATTCGTCGCATCATAGATTTCCTCAACATATGATGACCGCTCTTCGTGGAACTCATCTCTAGAAGGGGGGGTAATGTCACGGCCATAATCATGTAAGCTAATAATTACATATAGAAATAGATAGAAGTAAGTAAAAGTAGATAAAAGTAAGTTAATTCTATAATATTTAATATAGAAGTTTCCTAGAAACTTCCTAGACGCTGCTTTGACTTCATAGGTGTCTTTAATTGACTTTTTGGATTAGAAACGTGGTCAACAAGTTGGCCATGTGCCACACATGTTGTTAGCTTGAAGATCAAGCTAACTATGTGGCCCACACGTAGAAAAACTTGCCTTGTAAGTCAAGGCATGTGTCCTACAAAGTCAACACATATTGGAGGTCCTATAGAACGTCGCCACGTAGCCCCTAGTTAGATAGTATATATAGAGACAAGAGTGAAGGCTTCTTCACTCTTGTCAACTCCTTTCTTGCTTCTAGTCCAGGTTCAAGAGTCTTTAGTTTCTTGTCTTGTGGCAATAGCCATTCCAGTTTCCTTTTAATATACCTACTTGTTTATATTTTGACTTATTATATCGAGATAGCCTTTTGGTGTATATTTTCCCTCATCGAGTCTTTGTCCTTGACAACAAGCTTAATTTTCTTCATTAAGGATATTTTATGTCTTTTTAAAAATTCTTCATCTAGAAAAAAAATTAATGCTTATGAATCTAATAAGATAGAGGCTTTTTGATTTTTACATTATAAATAAACATATATTATAAAATAGGAAGAGAATTTCAAAGTGAAAATATAATCTTTATTAAGTATTATATAAGATTTTAATTGCACAATTTTTGTCATAGTTGGACAAAGTTGTTTTTTAATATATTCTTTTGTTGAGAACTATGCTTTTTATTTTATAGTTGAGTTGTTTTTTTGAATAATATTAAATAATGTACTTATATTTTTTATAATATAGATAAAATATTTTTAAATAATATTAATTCTTTTATTGCTTAATAAGAGGTTGTCACGGCCATACTCATGTAAGCCAGTAATTACATATACAAATAGATAGAAGTAAGTAAAAGTAGGTAAAAGTAAGTTAATTCTATAGTATTTGATATGGAAGCTTCCTAGAAGCTTTATAGATACTGCTTTGACTTCATAGGTGTCTTTAATTGACTTTTTGGATTAGAAACGTAGTCAACAAGTTGGCCATGTGCCACACATGTTGTTAGCTTGAAGACCAAGCTAACTATGTAGCCCACACAAAAAAAAACTTGCCTTGTAAGTCAAAGAATGTGTCCTACAAAGTCAACACATATTGGAGGTCCTATAGAACGTTGTACGTAGCCCCTAATTAGATAGTATATATAGAGACAAGAGTGAAGCCTTCTTCACTCTTGTCAATTCCTTTCTTGCTTCCAGTCTAGTTTCAAGGGTCTCTAGTTTCTTTGTCTTTTGGCAATAGCCATTCCAGTTTCTCTTTCAATATATATACTTGTTTATTTATATTTTGTTATCTTTCTTTGAATGAAGGCTTACTTGTCTGAATTACTTTTTCATCGAGTTCTTGTCCTTGACAGAGGTTTAAAACATATTGTGCTATTTTATGTGTTTTTTTATTTTTAAATATATATATTGAAAAGATATCAATGTTGCCATTAAATTATAGAAACATTAAGATTAATTTGTGTGTCTTTCAAATTAAAATTTAAAAAACTGATTGTCACATTTCACAAGAAAGTCAAATGCTTGACTCAATGTTTGATGATTAAGTAAGTTGAATATCAATTCTTTTATTCCAAATAATGATTTGTAAAAAAAAATTAATTTATGAGTATAGTATCATCTACTTTATATCAATTATAAGATGTCAAAATTGTTAAGCATATAACATTACTAATTGATTGTCTTGATGCAAAATATAAATCTTATTATTTGCAATACAAATTATATCATATTATTTATATATAGATCAAAATTTTGCTAAAAAAAACTTCTAAATTATCCAATATTAGATCACATTGGTCAAAAAAAGATAAAAATTATAGTAAAATAAAATCTAAAAATAATATATCAATTAAGATTATAAGTTAGTTTTATTTAAGAAATAACTAGAATGGCTATTGCCAAAGACTAAAAAACTAGAGACTCTTGAAACTACATTATAAGTAAGAAAGAAATTAATAAGAGTGAAGAAGGTATCACTTTTGCTTATATATATATATATATATCTATATTATCTAAGTAAAAGCTACATAGCAATGTTTTATTAGATATATAATATCTCTTTAACTTGTACGGTAATTTTTTTATATGTGTATTACATGGCCAACTTGTATCACAAGGATTCAATATGTGTAATCCATGGCTATCTTGATGGCGAAGTTTTCAACCTATCAATTATCTAGAGATATGTTAAAAATCAAATCTATATTTATGAAGCTTTTAAGAAGCTTTTCCACAAGTTATTATCAAATTTATATATATATATAAAAATAAATAGGAATTTTTGTAGACTTAGGTACAGCTCAGCTAACGGCTAGCCATCTAATGAAAATCCGTAGCGGGCTATTCTATAGAAAAATATAATATATACAAAAAATGAAATATTAAAATGTCATAAATCTAATTGATCAATGATTGTTTGCCAAATAACAAACATGCACAAACCCTATGGATTAAACGGTTGAGCCGCGGCTAGCTGTTAAGATCGACTAGGCTTCTAATTTTTTTTTAGGTGGCTAAATGCCCAGGTCTAAATTTTTACTCTAAAGAGTTCCAAAATTTGCCCAAATATTAGGGTGTTAAGAAATTGTGTTTCTCTTCTGTTCATTAATCTACGGTGGCGGACGCCCTGTGTACTTGTCTTCAAAATACTAATAAAAAAATAAGAAAAAGATGAGTAGCATAATACAACAGCGCACGTATTCAAACGAAGGATCTGGAGCGGGCGTAAATGTATGAATCAGTTCTTAACCTCAACTTGACGTCCTTTTACCCGTGGATCAGATCACACCATAAAAGCAAAGGAGTAATGGATCCTGCACAATGTGGGAGTCAATCGCATTAAAAAAAGACGGCATCAGTGGTGGCGACTACTCAGAATGACGGTAGGGAGAGCTTGGGAAATAAAAAGGTGATGCCGGCATCTTTGCTTCCTTTGACATCGAGTTCAACGCGCACACCAACGTCCCTTCTCGGAGTGTGAGGATGCTAAGTCTATGTGTCTGTCTGTTTGTGTGTGTGGGGTGGTGGTGATGGTGGTGGCAGCAGTACTGGTGCTGTCAGATAATGTCGCTCGTTGTGATTTCTGGTTTCGTTGGGGATACCACAACGATGAGCACGCAACCCCACAGCCGGTGATCCTCACGTATATTGCCTTCACATCATGTGATGCGAAATCAGGGAATGCGTGGCAAGGAATGCACAGTGGTCGAGGTAGGAATCGAAGAGATTGGTTTGATTCATCTGGATCTGTAGTTGTCATCTGCTGCAGGTTTTTAGCCTAATCTAACCCGACTCCTCTCACCCAGCCTACTGCCTTATTGGGAAGGTTATCTGAGGTAACTTCCATTGTCTGCGGTTGCTAAAAAGTTTGATCTTTAACGTGTTGGTAGCTTCATCCATGAGTATAGAGACGAAGGAAAAAGCCGTTTGACCTCAGGTTCTTCTCTAGCCTCTGGAGAAATGGCAAAGGAGGAACTCAGTTTACTCTTGACGACGTAATGAAAAACACAGAATCTCTCATATCTATACGTTATTCCAGAGCAAATCTAGTATGCTTGGTTGCAACAATTCTTAGAAACATTTGATTCATATTAGGTCACTTAGTTTATGGCACTACAAGTTCTCCAACCTTTCAGCTCACCGACTGCCGGTTACCTACTTGTCCGCTTCAGGATTCGTTGCTGCTGCGATGTCCTACTTCAATTAAAACATTGGCTCCCACACTCACACTTCTAATTGCTACTGCTTCCGATGCAGATCATACATATCAAGGTTCGATCGCTTCATGAATGCGAGTATAATCACAAACAAGATGCGACAGGTAACCAGAGCTTCCTGAAATGAAAAATACTAGGCAAAGCATACTTCGAACACATGACATGCATGCAATTGACAGTCGCTCTGCACCAACTCGTATTTCACGACATTCGATACCAAATTCCTCCATCTTAGGAGGATTGTGAAGTCATGACTTCACAGAAGTTCACCTCAACTTGCAGAAGTGAACCACGACTAATGTAGAGGAAAATAACCGGCAAATCCTGAGGGTAGCAAAAGAAAGTGGGTGTTGTCCAAAATTCACAGCTGCCTTAACGTCCAAAGGAAACATCCTACTTTCCAAGTACATGATTGGAACTGACATTTCAAATACTTTGCAATAAGAATTACAGCAGTAAGATTCTGCAAATAAGCAGTGCAGTCCAGCGAGTCTAAACTCGCGAACTGCCGCTCAGAAGGATGTTTCATTGTACTTGCGCTGCAGCTAGCAACCGAATCACCCTCAATCATTGAACATAGTTACCCTGAGGAGATCGAGACTAATCAAAGAGCTCCAGTACCCCGTAAGATCAAACGTACAGCATAGAGTCTTCCGTGAACTGTGGAAACAAACATGCATTGTCACACGAAGGATATTGCAGAGCAATGGAATGGGCAGCATGGTGCACATTGTCAAGCATGTACAAATCGTTGCAGAATCCAGATACATTGGTGTCTGAATGCGTACACGCCATGCACGAAGAGTCTTCGCAGCGCTTGAAAATGTCCCAGTCAACCATTGGGTTAAAACTCTCCAAGTTCTCCCCGACCCCTTGAAGATTCATTTGCCATTGGTTCATTGTGGATACCGCCTCGCATCGTTGAAGTAACTGCTCCTGTTTCGCACTGTTCATAACATTAGTTGAATCAGAACTCAGGAACTGGGTGATGGAAACTGGTAGCTCGCAAAGATTTTGCCAGGTGTTGTGATTAGGATCACATTTCGTGACCTTGTCGACTCTGGAAGTTATAGCGGTGCTATCCAAAGCTGTCAGGGGATGAAGATCAGGCTTGTCCCACACCCATTCTGCATTGGGAGCCGCACTGTGATACCCCCGGTTGCATATGAGGCTGGAAGGTAGGATGCTTTCCAAGTTGTCCGGATTTCGGCTTGGAAATCTATTCACAGCTATAACGGGGCTCGATTGGTTACAGCCCTCGTTAGCAGTAAGGTTACTTAAACTCGGTTCGACTTCTGAAGAGAGAGAGAACAGTCCTGGGCTGTCAGCAGCAGCTCTGGTGGGCGAAGACGCTGTATCAGCAGAGCGTGACATCGTAGATATTGAGGATGAAGATTCGTCTGAGAATGGAACTTGCGTGGATAGCAGACATTTTCTGGGCTCGATGACTCCAAGCTCTGAACCTGTGTCTTCGAAATTTACGATCACGCTGGAGTCCACGTACTTCGACACTACTTGGTCCAGTGTGCCACTTATAATTTTAGACTCAAACTGCCACTGCATTAGTGCTTGCGAAGGAGAAGTTACTGTAGAAGCTTTTTTGTAAAGCATAATCGAATCGCTTGGTGGTGAATCGTTTTCGGAGGAAACTGAGATATCATCGCTGTCAAAGACCTGCCACAAGGATTTGAAAAAGTGGTGAACTCCAGTAAGGTGGGATATCTCCAAGGATGAAATGCATTTAGCAGAGCTTATTCCAATAACAACTGCACCATCACTACGTAATGACCAAATAAACTAGTTATAAACAAAATGCTACGAGCATCTTCATAATGCGAAACATAAAGCCTGCTTCAAACACACCTTGAAACAGGTGTGAGTATTCACGTTGCTGGTTCACAAGACTCCGGAAAAAGTAATAAGTTTCTGGATCGAGTAGTGAAAGAGAATTACCTGAAATGGTTGGGATCCTGCTCCGCAATAGCGTGACACAAACAGCTCGGAACTGACAGTTGGACTCCGTTTGAATTGGGTCAGACGAAATTGTTGGTCTTCGTCAGAGACGCAATGCCATTGCTCTTGCTTCCCCGGACTTACTTTAAAACCTTCTACCTCAACCTTGTTGATCGAGGGACTTTTCGGCATCACCAATCTTTCATCCTGCGAAGGGCTGTGGAGAGCGTTGGGAGGAGGCATCTGTTGAGAAGCTGGTTGGATCTTTCTGTCTACGTACCTACACCCATACCCAGGCAACCTGTATCCTTCTACCAGTTGCTCCTGTACTGCTGGTGCATTGAACATATTGTTGGAATGTTCATCATAATTCAGCTGAGTATTTTTCCAGTTGCAGTTGCGAGCATTGTTTGCTGCTGAGAGCAGCAGCACTTCCCCAAGGGTCTTCTGAGCGATTAGACCCACCTGGTGATGCTGCGAATTACCATTTGGCGCCGCCAGTGCCGCTGCAGCGGAAAGAAGACAGGTCTCATGCGTAGGGTACACAAAGTTGGTACGTGCCTTAGGTCCTCTCATAGATCTTGCCGCTACAAGAAACGGAAGGCGGATAGAGTTAGCTCTATCAGGGATAGAGATACGTGATCGTCATCGCCACCTTGTAACCAAATGCGCAATGGAGAAGTTGATATTCTTACCAGTGTCGTAAGCGAGAGCTGCATCCTCAGCAGTGTCAAAAGTGCCTAGCCACTTCCGTTCCTTAGTATTGGGGTCTCTAATCTCCGCCGCAAATCGCCCCCACGGCCGCTGCCGCACCCCTCTGTACCTCCCCTCTTGAACCTTTTTGGCCCTCTTGATGCTGGCGGCTTTCAGCTTTTGTGAAACAGGTCGCGAGCGACCCATGATCTCCGGAACTAGGGTGTGATGACTGCTTCGAACCATGGCATGATGAGTAGACTGCTTGCCATGGGCACCAGCTAGGGACGCCTGCACTTTGCCTACCATCTTGCGCTGACTTACTCACGTTCTCGTCTGCTAGGCTTCCTTACCTCGTCCGCTGAAATTCGAAAACCACTACAACCTGGCACACCCTCTGCACTCGAGTGACGCTGCAGCTTTCCGAAAACCCCACCCTCTGCTTCACCTCAATCGTCAATAAAGCGCGAATCTATAAACCCACACTCGCAACACTTTCTTCCACTTCAGCATGATGTTGCGGAATCTCTATCCGCATCTCTTTGGATTAGCTGGGGAAGCAGCGACTCGTAGAAAACCTTCAACGCCTCACACAGATCTGCCAGTGCTGCTGAATCAGTGAGTAATTCCCCCGCAAAGCATGTCAGTTAGCTCTGCTCAACCCATGAGTCCACTCCGCAAGTGCATATGCTTCCGCTACAAGACAGCTTTGGCTGCGGGTTTGAAGAGAAACTTGAAGTTCAGGACCGTGACGACGACAATTGAGCACATCTAGAAATTGGGAGAATGTTGAGAGAAAGAATGGTGGATCTCGGGAAGTGCGACGATCCAGATATTTTGAGTAAAAGGACATCTCTGTAGACTACATATTTAAATAGGGCTATCACCGGACCAGGTACGGCTAGTCAGGTCTGAATCCTGAATGCCTCTCCGCGTAAGAAGAATTTCCTCAACTTTCGCAACCATAGTTACTCAAGAGTCAGGAGGGAGACGACGAACATGCGCACGCAAATCAATGGCATCTAGGAGCTAGTCATCCATATAGGCACCTAATTCATGATCACTTATTCATGAATCTTACTCGAAATACTTCCCATAGCTCCCTTCCTGGCGAGTGCTTGCAGCCTTTTTCATGTACTTTCAAAATGTCAAAGATATGTTCTCCTCAATCTCTTTCATCGCTTTCAAGTTTAATCCAGTTGAGATAAGTTACCATGCCCATTCGAAAGCGATCATGTCGGATGCTTATAATTAGGAGAAGGTTATGGTTATTGATATAACGGTTCGTGGCGTACGTGTGCGGAGCAAGTAATGCAGTGTGATTGTAGACTGACAACTGGAAAAATAATAAGGTTATTTACAGTGGAATAGTGGGTGAGAAAGAGCCAAAATTGGAGGTATCATTTTGGCTTTTAGTGATTCAGCTGAAAAGGAAATGTTCGCAACCTCCTTGACTCATGACTCTAATTTGAATGAAGAGTGTTGATAAATATGGCTGCGTAGTTTGCTAATCTATTTGCAAGTACTTTCTTAAACTATTAGGGAGACAAGATTCCGTAAAGGCCGCGTTCATGGAGCAGCATTCTCTGAGAAGCCAGGCTTGCGTAAGGTGGCTGGGAATGTAGCTTGCTTATTCTGTGCATCTCAGTCTGACTCCAGCATCACGGACACTCTCTATCGCGTTTGTTTTGTCTTCATTGCGGTTGCAACCTACTAGAGCTTAGTTTTCGAACCTCACGAGCGCTATATTCCACCTCAAGGTAGTGCATTCCAGCAATAGCACTGTTTGGGTGCTTCATCAACTGAATAGTGCATTGCACATCAAAGTAGGCTGGCCACATGTTATTGCATATCAGACCCAGTTTAGATTCTAAAAACCAAGCCACTTGTGTATTCTCAAGCTGATCGATGAATGTTAAGAAGAAAAAAGAACTGAATCATTCACTGCCAAACTGCGACGCGTCATCGATGCCACCTCATTGGACAATGAACATAAATCTGAGCGAACGGACAAAATGAAATGGGAGAAGAGTCAACCTCGATCAAGTCAAGTGCATCGCTGCAGATGGTCTGCGCCGATTGGGAACCACACCATCCAGCAGATCTATGGCTAACGAATCTCTTCCGGCAGGCTGGCGGCTCAGGGCAGCAATGGCTCCTTGCTGTACATTCCATTCGTTTGTGGATCCCTTGCTTGTTGTGCGGCGCCAGTTGCATGATCAGTCTGTTGTTGTTCTTGTTGTTTTCGGATGCACTTTCTTCGGGTCTCTTGACCCTTTGCTCAGGCTCCATGTGCCGGTTTCTGATTGGGTCAGTTTGTAAAGTGTAGGATGCATGCAGGCTATAATTGGGCAGAATTTTTGCAGAGCTTTCCGAGGATTCAGAACTTGGGACGCTGATGGGCTTCAGTTTCTTTTTTGTAGCTGTAGTGCTTTCCTCCTCTCTTCTCAGGGCCAAGCTTCTGGTTAAATCTCCTTTGCAGGCCTCATTGACATTCATTTATCTATTTAAATTTAATTTTTTTTGAAACAATAGGAGGTCACACCCTGTATTGGGGGGGTCACACCATCAGGCAGGATTGGGATTTCACAGCTGGATTCACATCGCCAACCTTTGAAAGATGTTTTTTGAATCAATTTTTCATCCTCTAATAGTCATTCCAAACTAATCTTGCTTCCTTTTTAAACATCTCTCATAGTTTGTGAAAGGCCCAAGTTACTGTATATTTATACATAAATGATCATGAACCTACCTAAGTTTCATTGGTGAGCAAATCATGCGATAGTGGTGATCAAGTTTCTATTGTAGTTTGAGAATGCACGAGGGAAAAATATTAAAGCTCTGTGTCTACAGCTGCATGTATATTTGTTTTTGTTTTGTTTGTTTGTTTTTTTTTTGTTTTTTTTATTTTATTTTTTTTATTTGATTTTAATTTAGTCGTGTTCTTAATTTTCCTACATATATTTTGAAACATGAGGACATGGAATGTAACACATGTTGCTGTGTGTTGTATCATGTTCTGTAAAAAGGGAAGACGTGGATTTGGTTTGGAGCATAGGCATTATTTTGTCTCTTCAAGTTTAGGCTCTTTAAGAAAACAAACAAAATAATACATAGGCTCTAAAAGGTTAGTGATTTTTTTCCCAAACATGTTTAGACCTTGTGCATTATCTTGTTTGTTTATCCTTTTGACATCCAAGGGCTATTAAGAGTTAATTTTAATTAAAAAATTAAATCATGTTTTACTGATCTTTCTTAATTAAACTAATCAGATATTATTACTTTTTTATTTTTTATTTTAAAATAGTCGTCCCTAAATTTGAGTATTTTTTAAACATATTGTTTCATACAAAACATTTGATGCATTAAAATTCCACTTTATTTGTTAATAGTGGCTTAAAACGTGATATATATATATATATATATATATATATATAGCTTCATTCTTATTTACATGCAATTCATTCATAAAATAAGATATAATTAATATTATGTATAATTATTATCACGATATAAAGTAGATTATCATGTGTCAATTTATTGATAAATGACTATCAAAATCCATACTTATTGTGTAACAATATCAATAACCAATTATGGTATTTTTTTAATTTTTTTAATATAGTTCAGGTATACTTGATGCATTGATTAGTATGGATTAAGTACAAGGCATTTAAAGACATAGAATCTAGAAAACAAAGTGATAAATGAACAATTACCTATAATAATTAGTTATATGTTTCTATGAGTTAGTACTAGTTCTAGCATATACAATAATATTATAGTAATGGAACTTTAAACTCTATACAAATGATTTCATCTATCTAGTGCCAATTGTTTTTTGTTTTTGTTTTTTATTTTTTATTTTTTTACCATCCAAATTCTATTCCACCTATAAATCAAGGCTTTACCATAGTCTATTCAATTTCTAGTTTATCTTTTGTAAATTTATATATTATTGTAGCATAATCTATTAAACTTTATCATATTTTTGATTTTTTTTTTATTATTCCATACTTTTTTATTAAAAGATAAGTTGTTACATTGCCTCCATATTGTCTAAAGACATGTATCATATAATAGAGACCATATGGCTTTGAATCTTTTAAATTTAAGTAAAATTTCTTAAAAAATAATTTTTTACTTTTAAATAAAAACTAGTCAAAGGCCAACTTTTTTGGAACTAATAGTAAGCTTGTGTATAATTAATATAACCAAGTTTGAAGCTTTTTAAGCTTGAAGGTAATTATAGAATCTAAACATGATTATTTTTGAAAGGTTTAGATTATATAATTAATAAAATAAAAATACTTCTTTGTTTGTTTGTCCTCTCCATAAATTAACAATAAGGCTTTTGTGGTATATGAGCCATATTATATTGGTCCTTTTCTAGCTCTTTAGTCAAATTAGACATATTTTTTACTTAAATTTATAATATTATTTTAGTTTGTTCCTTCATTTTGATGAAATAGAGTCTCATGACTTATGACGTTTTTGAAGGAATTACCAACCTAGTTTAGAAGTATTAGATATAATATTAATTTTTTATTTTTCAATGGAGTGATTATGGGATAAGGATTCTACTTGCAATTGTGCTAAAGAGTCTATAATTTTCTTAAATTCATTCATAATTTTTATTTTGATAGTCACTTTTATAGATTTAAAAGTTTTTTTTTTTTTTTTTTTTTTTTTTTTTTTTTTTCTTCTAAGTTAGAAGTATTAAATATATAAGAATTTATAATTTAGAAGGATAATAGTTTGTTGTTAAAAGTGAAGAATCTTGTTTGTTTTCAAAAAAAATATAATTTTATTTTAAATGATTTAGACATTATAAATCAATTATTAGAGCTTATATTGACATTGGAAGAATTTAATTAAAAGAAATAATCAAAAAATAGAAATTTATTTGAATAATATAATCTAGTTTAGTTATTAGGTTGTGGCCTTTGATAATTAATATAAAATTATATTTTTTCTTTGTAATAGACATTTGAATTGATCTTTTGTCATTCTTAAGTTTTCTTTAATTATACCTTCATTGTTGCATGTAGCTCTGACAAATAATTTACCAAATATTTTGCTATAGGATTATCAACTTTTAAAAATTAAAAAGATCAAATTATAGATGATAATTATAATTGGCAAAGAAAGATGTTTTTTGAATAGAAGAATATAATCTTTATAAAATCTTAGAAATATCTTATCACACTCTAATTAATTCTAAATAAACCTTAAAAAATATTCAAAAATCTCAATTAAATCCTAAAGATATTCTAAATAAATCCTAAAGAAATCATAATGAAATTATAAAGAAATCATAATTAAATTCTAATTAATTCTAAAAAATTATATATTAAATTTAATTTAACTTTAAAAAAAATTTAAGTAAATTCTAAAAAATCCTATTCAAATCTTTACCAAATCTTAATAAATCTTAATCAAAATTTAACTAAATTCTATAAAAATTTAAAACCTTAATAATTATTAGTTTAACTCTTGATCTTAATTCAAATTTTTTATCCTTTTTGATCTACTAGTTAAAAATAAGTATAAAAAATTTAAAGAAAATCAAGCTTACAAATTTACTAAAATTTTCTTAATTTTCTTGAATATTGGTTATCATCTTTTTTCAATCTCGAATTCAATCTTCTAGCATTTGTTAGGAATTCACTTAGAATTTCTATGAAGAAGAAAAAATTTCAAATATTAATGACTAAGATGCATAAATCTAAGAAGATAATAATTAATGGTTAATATCAAGAATAAGAAGGACTAAAAGCCACCAAAAGAACTAACTTAAGAAATGAATTGATAAGACTAGGGAGGGCCTTGGTTTTGTATCTACTTAAATTACTTATAAGACTCAAGGCTTAGAGTCCAAATTTCTCATATCTTGCTATATAAGCTAGTAAATGGTTAGTCAACCAGATCTCAAGAAGCTCATAATTCACACAATGGTAATTATTTAAGAGATATTCTATGAAAAAGTAATAACTTATTTTCTAATGATTTTTTATTCTCACTTTGCTACTATGCTTGTAAAAATCAAAAAATTAGATCTTTACAATATGAATTATCTCTTAATTTTATTTTGTATATATAATTATATTAACGACCTTTGTCCAACCTTAAGATATTTTTTTTGAATTTTGAAGGATGTAAAAATAATATAAATAAGTGATTGTATGGAATTGTATTTTAAAATTGTTTTACTTTAATTCTAGTATTTTTTTTAAAAAATTTTAGTATTTTAAATATATAGTATTTTAAAAAAATTATGAATTTTATTAATTATTATAATCATCATTATTATTTTTATCTAATAGATTATATATATATAAGTAGATTTTTTATATATTTTTTTATTTCTTAAGTTTTATATTTTTAGATTTTTATATTATATATTTTATTTAATAGTGTTATTTGTTTTATTTTATAGTAGCCAAGCTTTTTCTATTGTCAAGCTTTTAATCTAAGATTTCTTTCTATAAGGTATGATTTTAATAGATATATCATTTAAATATAGATTTATAATATATTTCTATGTATTTTTTTTATTGAGTAATTTTTTAATTTTCTATTATAAAGGATTTTTTTTATAGGTATATCTTTAATAGTATTTTTTACTATAAAAAAGACTTTGAATTGCCTTAGTTGTCTTTGAAAAACCTTATGATAAAGATATACATTGTACTTGGTTGTTTTAAAAAAGAAAAGATAGTTAAAACTCTTAATAATTCTTATCTTATATATTATTATTTTATTTAAGATATTTATTCCTAATACCTAAGGTTTTATTGCCACCATTTTGTTTTTTTAAGTTACCAATAATATAAAATATTCTTCATTTACTATTATCTATTTGTTATTATTTATTGATTTTATTATTCAATGTATTTTTTTTCCAAAGATATAAATCTAGGAAAAAGTATAAAAAGTCAATACACTCATATATTATTAAAAAGAGAGAAAATATGTAAAGAAGAGAGATATAAGATAAAAAATAATCAAAATAGGTATTATCAAATACAAAGCAAATAGAGAAGCTTGAAGAAAAACAAGAATACAAAAAGGTATTGACAAGAATAAAGATGGCCATGTATTGCTTCTATAAATATTAGCTACATTATTGAAGATTATTAAAAACCACTAGGCTTGTAATCTAAGCATGTAATTTTTATATTTCTTCTAAAATAGCTTTTTAAAAGTATAAACGTTTAGAACAAGTTTTAATAGCAATGTATCACATCTAAATGAACATCTATTTAATATGTTCATACCTACTTCATATTATTTCCATTCACTAGAATAACATAAAAATTTGTTATATTTGGTATAAATTTCTATATTTTATATATTACATCTAAATGAACATCTATTTAATATATTTATACCTACTTTATATTATTTCCATTCACTAGAATAACATAATTTTTTTTTAAACTTGGTACAAATTTCTATATTTTATCTATTGCATAATTTTAATGCCAATTAATTAGATTCTATGATTTTTTTTTATTTGGATATTCTTTTATATATATCTTCAGATTAATTTCTACTTATTAAAAACTTTAAACAATTTCTTTGATAATTTTTTTAATATAAATTAAGAAGATATTTTGATATATTCTAATCTTCTAAAAATTTAAAGATTCTAAAATTTTCCTTGGTTCTATGATTGAAAAGTGCACATGAAATAAAGATTTTTTTTTTTTTTTTTTTTTTTTTTTTTTTTTTTCTAATTAGGTCATTTGACCTAGATTTTAAGCAAACATGATGTTATTCTATATTTTATTCTTTTGTAATTAATTTTTATAGATCTTTTTAAAATTAAAATAATTATTTTTAAATTTTATCTTTTGAGGATCTTTTACTTGTAAAACTTGCTATCACAATATAATTGGATAAATGTTCTGTTTCTACATAAACATTGTCTGTATCTATCTCTACTTCAAAAATAAATAGTACACCTTTATATATAACCATTAGAAAAAAAACTCATCAAATATAATGTTTTTAGTCGTGGCTTCTCTTTTCTTCTAAATTATATGTTCTTTTTGTATTTTATTGAAGTTTCTTTATATTCCTACTATTGCTCAAATTCTTATGTCATTAGATTATTTCCTCAAAAAAAGACAAATTTCTTCATACACTCAACATACAACCTCCTAATTTTTCAAAATTTAAAATTTTCAAAAGAATAAAATAAGATAAAATGAAATGTTCTTTTAATTACATCAATTTTAACTATACTAGATTGCTAGCAAACTTTATATGAGCATGGTCCAAACATTTTATTTTAAAATATATATTGTATGAAAAAAAAAACTATATATATATATATATATATATATATATATATATATTGCAACATCTTCATATAATTTTTAGTAATAATCTTTACACAGATACAAACCATATAATCTCTTTTTTAACAACCCATTAAATTTCTTAGGTTATTTATATTATTTTTATTCTATGATAATAAAATGTATGCACACACAATTATTTGTCATATTTGTAGATATACTTACGAATACCAAAATTTTAAGCTATAATATCTTGATTTTTAAATTTATTAAATACATATTTAAAAGTAAAATTTAAAAACCATTCAAAGATTTTCAAATTAATTATTTTAAAATAATTGAAGCTTTTTCTAACATCTATTGAGTCTTAATATTGTATGATACAAGGGTGTACTTTCTGTTTATTTTATACATCAATTTTTGAAATATCTTATGTTTTAATATATTAGTTATGATACCTTATTATAATAAGTAGTAACTTAAGCATATTATGAAACTTGTTTATTTTGAAAAACATTATGGTGTAAATTATTAAAAACTATATACAACTTTTTATCTTGGATCATGATCATTTATATTTTTGCAAAAATCATGCACAAAAATAACGTATAGTAATTATTTTCACAACTTTGCATAAGCAAAAACACAGAAATATTACAAACAACAAAACCACATGCACACTCACTTACACAAAAGTATCTGTGTTTATGTATCAAAAAAATTGAGGCTTTATCTTTTAGTTAAGTTGCAAAACGAAATAAACTTGAATTACATTTATTTATTTAGTAAAAAGAAAAGAAAAATACCGCTCAAGGATAGTGGAATGAACCACATAAAAACGTTGTAGTCTTCAAAAGAAAAAGAAAAAGAAAAACCCCACTAGCCAAGTAAGTGCCGTGGATGGCCGCAAACGCTCTCAGGCACCACTGCCGCTGACGCCGCCGCCGCCGCCGCTTAGAGAGGGTAGACAATTGCTGATGAGGAAGCTGGCAGCGTTGTGGGTGCTGCGGGGATACAACGCCCTCATGGAACTGGGCTCTTGCCGCTGCAGCAGCAGCACGAATTGCACGCTTACACCATCAACAACATTGCTATGAGGAAACCATGCATGCTCACCATGCTTGGTGTTGTGTTGGTGGTAGCTCGAGTCTGCTTCGATTTGAAGAGGATTCTTGGAGCAAGGATTCTGGGTCGTGGATCTTACAGCACCTCCTCGGCGGTGCTTTACCCCTCAACAGGGGACTGCTCCTACGGGTAGGCACCTATCGGATTCCCTTGAGAAAACTCAGATGATTCTGGACTAAATGCGTGTTTCACTTAAGAATGTCAGTGGATGCTGCATGCGAACAACTTCTGGCAGGCTGATTGTCTCACACATTCCAGTTACTAGAATTGTTTGAGAGGTATAGGCTTGAGGAGTTTTCTTTTGGGGTATGACCTCTTGGGATATGGTTTTGAAGTACACCGAAGTCTCTTGGTAACTTATTAGTAAGATCTCTCTCTGTCCACGTTGACAGCCGCCAGTCATGAAATCCGCTTGCAATTGCGTTGCGTCTACCACCGCAGCAATTCAGGTTGTAAAGCTAGCATGTAAAGTGATGATAAATTGTTGTTGTTGTTGTTGTTGTTGTTGTTTTCTTCTCTTTTTTTTTTTTTTTTTTTTTTTTAATTTTAATTTTTTGGAATTCAAAAGAAATCAGCAACGCCACACAACAAATAATTTGGTGCATTGGTAGTGTTTCGTATTTTTTCCTGCGTCACTTTTGTACGTCTGTCTCTGGAAACTTAGACCCAGCTTCTTCTCTTTGTTTCAAACCACGACCGCTCTAACTTACGCGGAGGAAATTCCTTTCACGATTATCATGTCCACATAAGCAGCGCATTGCGGTACCTTTATCATTTTTTTGTCATTCAATTGTAAAGCCTGTTACGATGCGCATCCATGATTGTGGCTGTGAGCACTTGAGTTTGGTGTTGACGACAATTACTTTTATGTCGAGAGCAGGGGAGAATAAGTATCTGGTACGCATAGGTTATAATCCTCATTCTGCTTATGAAACGGAGCTTGAGACTGAAAATAACCTTACAATGTCTGTAGATTTCATTTTTCTTAACGAATTGGGTTTACGCCGACATAATTGCTCATTGGTTTTGCTCATGTATCATATTTTGGTGCTGATTCCAAGGTGGTAAAGTAGATATCAAGTAGAAATCAACCGTGAATCTGGTTTCCCTCGAATATGGCGACTTTTTCGCAAGGAGAGGCAGAGGGTGCCAAGCCTTTTGAAGCTGTCATACGAAATGAAGAGAAGGTCATGAACCTCGAGACATTGCACGCCGAACTGGCGATCACGCCAGAAGTATCTTTGCGACGGATGACTCCGAAGCTCACTCGCCCTGACTCTCTCGATCTGGAGTCGTTGCAAGTGAGAAGCATGGACCATGCCCCACCAGTAAGCAATTTCGTTCAGTGATGCAGTGCACTGCTCTTACACCTGAATATGCAAAGTTAAGTAAGGCGTTCGTACGTGGTTGCTCCTCAGTTCTGTTTCATCAAAATTATTTTCCGAGATATAGAAATTCCGGCAATGAAGTGAGATGGACAAAGACTTGCAGTCATGTGGATCTTCCGCGTATTGCGCAGAAAGCATCGCTGGCTTTTGTTATGAAATTGGCGTTTCAGAGCATTGGGGTGGTATACGGAGATCTTGGTACCTCCCCACTGTATGTATACAGCAGTACCTTTACCCACGGCATCAAAAAGAACCATGACATTCTGGGCGTGCTCTCTCTGATCATCTACACGCTCATCACCATCCCCCTCATCAAATATGTTTTCATCGTCCTTCGGGCTAACGACAATGGTGAAGGTACGTGCTGCCTCAAATCTGCCATTACCATGCTACTGCTCTGGTTCTAAGATTGAAGCATTTGTTGGTTGAAGAAAACTCCAGGAATGATTCGGCATGAGTATCTTTGCAGGTGGTACATTTGCGATGTATTCATTAATTTGTCGGCATGCCAAGATCACATTGGATCACAACCGACACCCAACTGATCGAAACATTTCAAGCTACGTACTGTTGAAACCATCTTCGAGGATGACCAGGGCTATGCGCGTTAAGGAGGAGCTGGAAAACAGCAGAGTTTGGCAGAATATTCTGCTTGTGGTTGTTTTGTTGGGACCATGTTTGGTGATTGGCGATGGTTCACTCACCCCTGCTATTTCAGGTAGCTCAATTATCTGCAAAACCATATATTCGCAAATCCAAATGCTGCGTCAATCAGAAAAGAAAATTGAGTTGGGTTAAGGTTCTCATGGATTGTGTCACTGTGCACGGCAGTACTTTCAGCAATTCAGGGAATTGGCGTACAAGTGCAGGGCCTCTCTCCCAGTAACTTACTAAACCCTAATTGTCATTTCTGCTCAATGGTGATGCGAAGAAACAAAATTCCCTATAACTCACAGTTGTGATACATGCTCGATGCTGTGGGCTGCTTCAGACTTATCGGTGATCATTACGATAGTAGTCTTGATAGGTCTCTTTAGCCTTCAGCGATTCGGCACTCACAAGGTAAGGAGTCTACACAATCGCTTTGCACAGCATGCAAATTGTCAACCTTTTGTACTTAACCCTGTTTGAACTGCACTTTTTATTGGATTTTGCATACCTTTCGAAAAAACTTTGGATGAGCGCTGCAGGTGGCCTTCTTATTTGGTCCGGTGATGCTGTGTTGGTTTTTCTCCATCGGCGCTATTGGATTGATCAATATTGTTCGATGGGATCCCTCCGTATTCAGGGCTTTCAATCCTTACTACGCTGTCTCCTACTTCATCAGGAACAAACAACAGGCGTGGGCTTCACTGGGAGGTGTTGTACTGTGCATCACAGGCAAGCCATATGCTTCAATTGATGCTTCTGCTGAAACATTAATCCAGCTGTCAGAGACCTGGAAATTGGTTCGATATAATCAATTAACTTGTTAACTTGTTAACGCTATTAATTATGTGACTTGCAATGGTGATACAGGGAGTGAGGCGATGTTCGCAGATTTGGGCCATTTCACTGTAAAATCGATGCAGATTGCCTTCTCGTTCTTTGTGTTCCCCGCGCTGCTGTGCGCCTATATTGGCCAGGCAGCTTTTCTCATGAAGAACCAATCTATGGATGATGTGACCTACACATTCTACCGATCCATTCCAAGTAAGCAGCAGCTCGCTTTTGATTGTACACACATGTACCGGAGAAAATACGCTTGCAATGGACTGAATATCTTTGACCGACGATTGCGTTGCAGAGCCTGTTTACTGGCCAATGTTCGCGGTTGCCACATGTGCAGCGATCATCGCCAGTCAAGCAATGATTTCTGCGACATACTCTATGATCCGCAACGCTATGGCACTTGGTTGTTTCCCTCGGGTCACAATCATCCACACGTCGATGAAGGTGCACGGCCAGATCTATATCCCCGAAATAAACTGGATGCTCATGGTCTTGAGCATAGTAATTGTCGGTGGGTTTCGCAGTACCTCTGAGATCGGTCACGCCTATGGGATCGCCGTGGTGGGAGTATTTTTCATCTCAACTTGCCTGCTCACGCTCATCATGATCATGATCTGGCAGACCAACATTTTTCTGTGTCTCTTATTTTTCGTCGTGTTTGTGATTATCGAGGGAACTTACTTCTCGGCGGTACTATCTAAGGTGACGCAAGGGGGATGGGTTCCCCTCGTCATTGCTGCTTGTTTTCTCACGGTGATGTACTCGTGGCATTTCGGAACTCGGATGAAACGGCTCTATGAAATCTCCCAGAAGCTTTCAGGGGATTGGGTGCTCTCAGTCGACCATAGCCTGGAGATCTCGCGGGTTCCTGGAGTGGGGCTTGTGTACACTGAGCTTCCGCAGCGCGTTCCTGCAATTTTCGACCACATTATTAGGATTTTACCCGCCATACACTCCACTCTAGTGTTTGTATGCATTAGGCACATTGCTGTGAGTGCCGTCCCAGATGACGAGCGTATCCTCTTTCGAAGACTCGGCCCGAGAAACTATCGCATGTTCCGATGTGCTGTCCGCTATGGCTACACCGATCTCCATTCAGAATCAGATGGTGAAAGCTTTGAAGCTATGCTGCTGGCGAGCTTAGAAAGGTTCATAAGAACGGAGGCTGTGGAGCAAGCTCCTGATTTCATTGTTGGTGATTCCCCTGGCGTAACATCGCCGGGCCAGTATTCCGTCGGTTGCGATTGCGAGTCGACGTCAGTGTTGTTCGACCGCACAGACCAATCCGACATCAATTTTCAGATGTCGCAGGAATGGAAAAGGCCTTATAGTGCGGAAGATCTGGTGACGGGACACGACAATTCCACCGCCGAAGAGCTTGCGTTGCTGCAGAAGGGGAGAGAAGCAGGAGTGGCGTATTTGCTTGGCGACATTGATTTGCATGCGAAGAGTGACTCTGGGTGGTACAAGCGAGTCATCGTCAACCACATTTACAGCTTCTTGCGAAGGAATTGCCGAAGAAATGAGTTGTACCTGAGTATCCCCAAGGCAAGGTTGCTTAAAGTGTGCATGGAATATTATATCTGACTGACCAATCTGCCAAATCGTAATTTCTGAGCAACACCTCGCACGGACTGGTAACATAGACAATATGATATCAGCGAGATGTGCGAGGTGAGGGGTGTAAGGATTTTCTCAGGAACTCGGTCCTCCATTCATTGAGGAATAACCATAGCGAGCATTCCACGCCAGAATCTATTTGATGCTGGTGGTGAGAAGTATCAGAGGTTTTCGCCATCGCTGGACCCATCTGTGTGACAGTTGGGTCATCTGCCCGAATAGGTACAGGTAATATTGTGCAGTCGACTCAACACAAAATCATTCTGTGTACTCACCATCATGGCGTTGTCATGGCGACCACATGCAATCATCTTCCACCATGACTACAATCTTCAGGTCCATTGCAGGTCCCTGCACATTCGACCTGTGAACTCTCTGTCAGCGTGGGCGATTGCATGTTTGAGGTGTCACAGAATCGATCCCACTCGTATGTAAGATCTTGATACTGAATTAAAAAATTACTATCCTGTGTTAACTTCTATATTAAAATTGACCCATGAATATATCATACATGAAAAATGCAACAGTCAGGTTCATTCATAAAAGCGTTTGCTTCCAGATATAAGTATCATGTGTACTTCTTTGGTTGATCTTCTAGCAATGAGATCTTTTTAAGGTGGTTGCCAATTAATGAGTAGATTGTATTCTTCATATAGAAAAAAAACTGAGAATTTTAAAGTATTACAGGATATTTTACAATGTGAGTAGTTCTAAAAGCATCGTTTTAATTTTTTAAATATTTTAATTAGCCTATGAAAATATGGAAGACAGTTAACAACCCACAAGACAACAAAAATTATAAATGAAAGTTAAAATAACCAAGGATCGCCTTGAGTCTTGTGTTGATTTCCGATACTTCAAATTAAACAATCTGTCCAATCTTACAACAACTTGTAACACAAATTATGATGAAAGTTTTGTTGCCCAGTTTTTTGCCAAATCTTTCATAAATTTGTTTCATAAAGTTTCTAAAAATATAAATAAAGAAAAAATTGAAATACACATTTGAATAATTTTGGAAACACTCAAATGTATATATATATATATATATTAAAGATGGTAGTACAAAGATAATATTAAGATGATCCATAATATTTTGTTGCAAAGTCTTGTTTTTATTTAAACTTTGATGAACTAAAATATATATATATATATATATATATATATATATATAAAACATCCAAAAACATCTTTTGAATAAATTTTTATTTATAATTAATTAGTTTTAAAGAAAAAAAACTTTGTTTAAATATAGATAAACTTATTTTTATTTTAAGATTTATTTAGAGCTTATATGTTTTTATGTAGTTTTTTATGAAATAAATTCAAATCAAGTCCTATCTTGTTGATCTGAATTTATTGTTTTTATACTTTCAACCATTTTATTTGGTAGGTTTGTCAGAGATTCTTAGTTTTATGATCTTGATATAGTTTACTATTATCTTTTAATATTAAATTATTGCATTTAAAATATTATTAAATAAATAAAATTAATAAAAAATATTTTATAGAATTTTTAAAATCAAGGTCATGAAAAACAATAACACCAATGATTTTTAATGACAATCATATTTTAATATTATAAGTAATTGTGTTAAATAACATTTTTATAACATTGGCAGTATCATGTTTATTTACAAATATGCATATATATATAACATTTGATTGTTGAAATTAATATAGATTCTACATTAAATTGGTTCAAAACAATATCTTTTTCATGACCTTGTTCTATATTAACCAAAAACTTTGCCCATGGCAATATTTCTCTTATATAGTTTTTATTTTTTTCATATGTTGTACATAAATTTATTTCTTTCTAGTGGATTAAATGGTTAATCATCCATAAATATTTAATAATTTTTTAATAACATTTAAAGGTTGTAATCAACTAGCCTTGTTGTATCTACTTGGTTTGATTTATTAATATTTGGCTATCTACCTTAACTATAATAAAATCAAAATAAATAGCCTTATTTCTTTAATATTTAAAATAGTCTATGTAAAATCTATTTTTGATATATTCCAATAAATATTCTAAATTTAGAGGTGTATTTTTTGTTTTGTCTCCTAACAATTGACGGATCTTTTTAAAGTGATATGCTCTCTAATTTGTATCTATAGATTATTCATGTCTCTAAGTTAATCTAGTAGAAAATGTGATATAGTTATAATTTAGTATGTTACCACTTAGTATAAGTTATTCTTTAATTTTATACTCTCAAACCAAACAATAAGAACAATAAAAATATTGGATTTTTATAGTTTGTGATAATGGCTTTTTTTTTTTTTTTTTTTTTTTTAAATATAATCTACTAATTTAGTGACTACTCACATTTTCTACTAGATTCTAATTATTCATGAATTCCAAGGTGTCGGCGTGCAAGGACAACATCGGAAAGCAGCGAAACTGCTGCAGTGACGGAACCAGAAGAAGAAATGGGTGAAGGTGGAACAGAAAATGTTGGGAGCCCAAGATTGGAGACAGCATCGTCGACACCAAAAGAGCCTAAGCTCCTCCGCAGGCAAAAAACACGAGCTATGGGTTTTCTCCGCTTTTCAATAACTGATATGGTCAAACCTTATATTTTGAATGTTTCAGATCCGGCTTTAGCTTGGGAAACTCTTGCCAAAGTTTATTCAACACAAACCATTGCAGATGTAATGAAAATTCTAAACAGGTGGGAGAATATTAAGATGTCAGAATACATGTCCGTGTCCACCTTCATGCAGTATGTTTATGACCTGCCACCCGACATAGTCGTTGTACACAAAATACTCAAGAATCTTCCGGCGACATATGAAATATTTAGTAAGATTCTGAGAGCCGAGAAGGTGACACCCACGCTCACAAGCCTCGCGAGCAGATTACACATGGAAGAGATGGAGATGAGCTTGAGGACGGAACCAACAGAAGAAGCGTTGATTTTCAAGATTAAAAATATATTGAGAGAGAAACAGAACCCCTTCACTCGATATTGAGCTTCGAGCTTAATGATCAACTTCAACCAAAGAAGAACATACTCACAACAACGACGAAACATCATGGGATCAGGTGAGCGAAAGGAACAGCATGAGGGTCCGCTGTGTCACCGGTGTAGCAAGCCGGGACACATTGCGAGGCACTGCCGCTCAATGGAGCCCATGCCAGCGAATCAGTATCAGCAGAGTGGGAATCACGTGAAGGAAGTCTTGAGAGATCAATATCCCACCTCGAACAAAATTCAAAACGCATTGAAGATCTTATCAGTTGTGTCGTCGCAAGAAAAAGAGTGGATCAAGAATTATTTTCTAATATGGAAAAGGCTTCGCAGCAGCAATCGGTAGCTACTGCTGATGATAGAATGCACGTTGTGAAAGGAAGAGGAAATGTACACTTCCTGTTAACCAACGATGAAATAAATTTGAAAAACGTGCTTTACATGCTCGGCCTAAGACAAAATTTGATTTCTGCTGGACAGTATGTAAGAAGTAATGACCAGGTTCTGATCTTTGGGAAGAAATGTTGTACTGCCGACGCAAATTTGAATCCTCGTAAATTCACCATATTGGGCTATTGGGACGAAAATTTGCAACTGTATAAATTAACCTATGACAGCAGGGCTCGCCATAATGACAAAAAGCATGTACTTCGATAATGGAAGCGGATTTATAGCACAAATTTTCTCTAATTTTTGTATGCAGAATGGTATCATTTGATAATTCACACTACCTCATATATCCTAACAAAATGTAGTGGAAAAAAGAAATAGATGAGATTTGGACAAAGCAAGAAGCTAAAACAACAGTATATCTGTTAAATAGGTTGCTAATAAGAATAAATTCTTTCAATATGTCACTAGAAAAAATATTTTCAGAGAATAAACTAAAATTATGTCATTTAAAAACGTTTGGATGTCTATCATATGTACACATAAGACATCAATCAAGAAAAAAATTGCAATCAAGATCAATTATGGAAAGCTTTGTAGTCTATGACAAACAAACAACAGGTTATCAAATCTACTTACATAACCTCAAGAAAATTACAATTTGTAGGGATATATTCTTTGAAGAAACCAAATTTATTGATTATGACAAACTATCATAAGATATTCTTAAAAAATGTAGCCAGGACACCATAATCAAAATTGACTTTATAGAACTATTATAAGATCATCTATAATCATATTGGTATGGGTCAAAGTTGCAGGATTTTTCAAATACAAGTCAAATTTATATTGAAATTTCTCCAAGGTACAAAATTATAGCATCTCAGATGACTATAGATAATATTGAATAGGAAACAATAAGAGATGACATATGCAACAACTCAAGTAATAATCTATACACTCCATCATCAAAAATAAATACTAAAACTCATACAATTATTTTTAATTATACTTAGGATATGGAAATTGATGAATGGCCTAATACTAAAACTCATAATGACATATCTTTTGTTGAGCAAATATACTTCCCAATTTAAAAATCTAGTCCTACATGGCCATTACTAATCATAATATGGACATGTCAACAAACAAGAATACCAAGATGGATGAAGGATTATTTTGCATGGCTAATGACAATATCAAATCTAGAACCAATAATTTATCATGAAGCAACATATCACCAAAGCTAGAAACAAGCTATGATAGAGGAAATAAATTCTATTTACAAAAATACAACATGGATAATTACAAATTTACCTCCAAATAAATTTGCTATCTCAACTAAATGGATTTATAAGGCTAAACTAAATACAAATGGATCATTGCAAAAACAAAAGTTAGGCTAGTAGCAAGAGTTTTTGAACAAAAGGAAAGAATTGACTATGAATAAGTATTTGTACCAATGATAAAATGGACAACTATCAAAGCCATAATCTCTTTAGTTGCTCAAAAAAATTGGAAGTTATATCATACGGACATTAAAACTACATTTCTTCATGAAGACCTAAAAGAAGAAATGTATATTACTCAACTATAAGGCTTTGAAATTCTTGGCAAAAAATATATGGTTTGCAAATCAAAAAAGGTGCTATATGGCTTAAAACAAGCACTCTAAGCTTGGTATGAAAAAATAGATTCATATTTAAAAGAAGTAGGATTTTAACAAAAAATAGGAAATCACAACTTATATTTAAGATTATCAAAGGATAACATTATATTCATTGCATAATATATTGATGATCTCCTTATGATTGGCAATTGCACAAAAAATATGTCTAAATTCAGAAAAGAATTATATGACCATTTGAAAATATCTAAACTATTGATAGGAGAAGTCACATTCTATTTAAAGGCCAAATGTATAAAGTTAAAAGAAAGAATTTTTATGAC